TCTTGCAGAACTGGTGCTTCCTGTGCACCAAAGCACAGCATTCTGTCATATTTTAAGCACATGAACACAGATACTAAGAGCTTGATCCAAAACCCATCAGGAACAATGGAGACATTTCCCCTAAACTTTGAATATGATCATAAATTAAGAACAAAGATCTAATCTACATTTTTCTCCTCTGCACTTATTGTTATTATTTACAATTATTAAAATTAGAATTCTTAGAAGTAAAATTTTAAGAATTCTGCATAATAATAAGTGCAGTCCAGTAGGTAATTCAGTTCACTGAGGTACCATAAAAAATCCCAGCCAGGAAATTCAATGCACAACAATAAGAAGAAGAAACAAGCAGAGTGTTTGTATACAAATGGTAGCAACATGGGTAAGTAAATGGAAGAACTTTCCATACTACTGCAAGATGTTTATACAGGCTTTGTAGGGGTAATAAAAACATAGCAGAAACAATAACTGGAGTCACTGAATAATACAGCTTCTTCAGAAAGGAAGGAAATAGAGCTGGTAGCATTGCATGAAACATGAGGGTAATTTGTGATGGAATTAGTTGTGTCAATAAAACAGATTCTGTTTGGATCCAGCACTTCTAGCATGAAAAAAGTATTTTTGTGGAATTAATGCTTCTGAAAAATCCCCAGGGTGTCAGATTTAACTCTGCAGCATTATTGTAGAGTTGTAGAGTAGGTAAGAATCTGTCATTAGAGGATGTTGAAGCTCACAGATTTCTTTACCAGTCACTAAACCAGCAAATGATATTGGTAGTTTATATCTGGATTTTGCTTTGAAATATATAGATAGCAAAATGTGTCCTCTAACCAAGCATTCAGACATGGAGTCCGTTAACATTATGTGACAAAAAATAAGTCATGGTCAGCAAATTTTTAATAAACAAACCAAACTAGTTAAAGAAGTGAAATATTCTGGGGTTTCATGGATATTTCTGCAAAGAAGACATTGAATTTCCTCAAGTGCCACATACTGTGTTGTATCTGACAACACAGGACTATGTTCAGCCATCCAGGAAGTCACCTCTAGGCCTGTGTGCCTAAATTTGTCAGTTAAATGCAAGTGCCTTAAGTAAGCAGAGGTAATTGTAACAGTTTGACAAATCTGGCCACTGTCAGTATTCTCTAACATTCTTTGACTCAATGTTGAATTTGGACGTTGGCTGCTGGACAGCAGAATCTGTTGCTGTGATGGTGTAGATCTTTGAGATGTAAGACAGGATATCTATCAAACCTGCCAGTTCCTCTAGAGAGTCTTACTCAGAAGCCTTCTGCATAGACCAGCCCTTCTAGTCTCCCTTGTCTCTGGACAGTCTCAAGCAAGATATGGTTGGTAGGGCCTGTGTAGAGTTTGTACAGGCTAATGAGGAAGACAAAATTGGGAAGAACACCAGTCAGTGGTGATGTTGAAGTACAGAGTTACCCAGCCTGGAGAAGACAAGGCTCAGGGGGATCTTTCCAAGGTATGTAGACATCTGAGGGGGTGGTGCAAGGAAGACAGAGCCAGGCTCATTCAAGTGGTGCTTAGCGAGAGGATCAGAGTCAGTGGCCATGAAATTAAAAAATAAGAAGGTTACCTCTGAATGTCAGAAACACTTTCATACTGTGAGGATGACCAAGCACTGGAACAGGTTGCCCAGAGAGGTTGTGGAGTCTCCATCCTTGGAGATATTCAAAAGCCACCTAGACATGATCCTGGACAACTGGTTCTAGGTGACCCTGCTTGAGTGGAGGGGTTGGACAAGATGACTTTCAGAGGTCTCTTCCAACCTCAATCATTCTATGATTCTGTAAGCAAGATTCACTCATTTCAGTAGGTTTAATTCTAAAAGCCAAGCAAAGTTTGATGCTTAATATAAATGTTCTGCATAACTTCAAAGATACCCACTCACTGTGAAACTGTGATTTCTGGAGGCAGACTATGGCTTGCTCAGAAAATCAGGCAGGAATTATAAAGGGGATATGCACCCATTATTATTAGAAGCAGCAGGAGAGAACAGGCAGAAAAGATGCTACAAGAGCATTTCAGGGAGATTTCCTAAAGTAGAGGGGTTCTGAACTTCTCATTGGGATGGCACTGGCTCTGTGATGATCCTAACTTCTCTCTCACTCCCTTCCAAATGCTGGGTACTTCTCTGTGTATCAGCAATGAGGAACTCAGCCTGGAAAACGAGTTAGATTTGGAGAAACTCCTACAGCCCAGAGATTTATTTGAGGGATTTCTGAAATTAACCCCTTTTATTCCTCCTTCTTGTCTCATGATCTGAAACTGTTTCTTCCCAGTTTAACACCACTAGAGTTGTTTCTCTGAGTTGAACTTAGTTACTCATGCCTTTTCCCTATTCTTCTTAACCTTCAGCTGTATGTGCTCCATATGACACAGTACAGCATTTTGGGTCCCAAGCAGTTCAGCTGTGAGTTCCTTCAGAGTGTGCCTAGACATGCTATTTATGTTACACCTCAGAAATCACAAAGACCTTTAAAAATGTTGATTCAGGAAATGCTGAAGGATTTTCTGCTGTCTTGTGAGGGCTAATGCAGGGTTGTTATTTCAAGGAGTTCTTACCCAAGACCTTCTCATGCTCAGTTTTGCCTGTTTAGTGACTGGGGAAAGGAGCTACTTGGCCTATATATTTCCTGGCTGCGCTCCATGTGCACAAGCTAATTTCTTTTCACCGGAGACCTATGTAATGTCAACTAGTTTATCTGATTTATGAAAAACATCTTGGTTTAGGTTTTATATCATAGCTAATCCTGTACAAATGAAGGGGTGAAAACAGACAGTGATTTACTTGCATAACAAAATCAATGCATTATTCCTTTTGCACCCTGATTAAATATTGCAAGAGAGGATGAACAAACAGATTGGTCTCCTCCCACCACATATCTGCATTGCCATCAGATATGCCATCAGGGAAATAAAGACTGCATGGATTAAAAAGTTGCAAAGGGCATTAAGGCATAAGCTAGTGAAACAGGAGCATGCATTGAAGAAGTCTCAGTTCAACAGTATCAGTCCACTTAGAAGCAATGTCAGCCTCACTGCTAATGCGGAAGCCAGGGAGGAGAATGCAGGTAAGATCTTTCTATACCAGGGCATGAGCAAATCACAATTAATTGCAGCCATTGCCACAATAATTTAGTATAGTACATTCTTTCTGTCTTTTAAATCTTGACTATTTAAAACTATTTTACTCTGAGCTGCTTGTGAGAGAAACTGGCGTTCTATCAGCTCTGCCTGTGAAGTGACCTTACTGCTTTTGCTTATAATTTGAAACCTATTTATGATTCATATTTAAGACAATATTAACAGCTCCTAAGCTTTCTGTGACTAATATTCACAAACTTTTAGACAAAGTCTCTTAGCATTTTTTCCCTAGGCACCCTCTGAAGAAATCTGTCTCTGAATCACAATTTGTGTGTATGCAGTTAATTACCATCAGACTGTTAGACTAGACAGGCTGATCATGTGGGAACTGACCATTTTGTTTTCACATAGAAACAGCCTTTGCCTTCCGTTGTCACATGGAAACAGCCCTTGCACTGGCATCTTGATGATGCTCTTTTTTCCTCAGTTTGCTTGATTAGATCTATGATTGGAGTACTTGAAAGACATAATTTCATAAACACACTTGAAGCGATTCCACACAGACCACCTCATCCTCCATAAATTAATTATTATTTTATTGCTGAATTTTCACATACCATTATAAAACATTACATTATGATAGGTCAGTTATCGAACCATGTACCTTCTAGACACCTCACAGAATGGTCTGTATAAATTACTTCTTGTTCCGAATTGATGGCAGGATAAGACAATCTTCACTTAGAAAAATACTTTAACTTCTGGAGTTCTCTAACCAAACATCCTTCTCTTTTGTTATAAAGGTACAGATTGTTTTATTAAAATGGAAACTGACTATGGGTCATCAAATGATTCTGAATATCATTTTTACTGATTACTCATTTTTATTTTAATATACACCTTAGCAGTTCTGTAAAAAACAATTATTTATGGCTGTAACTATATAGGTCCATTCTGACAACAAGAAGGAACTTGGAACTTTTTTTCTGAACTTTCCAGTAACAGTAGCTGGTGGGTGCGTGAGCAATATGCAGACCCATAAGTAGCCTGTTGTCTTAAAGCATTCTGCTTTAAGTATGTATGATTTGTAGCTCTGTACTATAAATGAGACAAGATTTGAAGGTAAAGGTAGTATCTTTATTTTTATTTGACCAGCTGGTTTAGCTAGAAATATTAAACTGATTTTCAGACATTTGCCTAGATTTTTCTACTAAATAGCTATTATACCTACCTACAGACTTTTTCTTATCATTGTCCTTGAACCATCAGAGCTACAACAAAATGGCACTAAACATCTCTATGATATGCAAGATACAGTTTAGTTCATGTCTAGAATAGGAAATGACTGTAGTAGTCCTGGATGTCTGCTGGCAAGTGATGAAATTTAATAGGAAATGGTCAATATCATGATCAATTCAAAAAGTATTTCCTTATGCACTTGCACGCTGTCTTGCATCCCTGTTCATTGATTCTTAAGTCCAAGAGTGCTTACTATTTCCTTTGTTTTTTCCTTTTACTCTTCACCAAACAATGGTATTTCTTGACAACAAGCCCTCGAAATAAACTTTCATTTTATCTCATAGAAAAAAGTAATCTGTGGACTACACTGAAAGGAGCCAAAAAAATAGGGAAGAAATGTTGAGAAAAAGGTGTATGTCTGGATCCAGCTAAATTTTCCAGCTGTGAGCTTCCACAGAAAAGAAATAATACCAGCATTGTCTATTTGTATTACATTTACTGGCAGACAGACTTTACTTTTTTGTAGCCACTATTTGAGTCAGTTTGTTGATCTGATTTATTTTATTTTTTAGTAGACTTCTATTTGATTAAGAAAAACTTTGCACTGCATGTATAGTAACTGAAGTTGTCACTGTTTTTTCTTCTCTTTCTAGGTGATGTCATTGTCTATATTAATGAAGTTTGTGTCCTTGGACATACTCACGCAGATGTAGTCAAACTCTTCCAGTCTGTTCCTATTGGTCAGAGTGTCAACTTGGTGCTATGTCGTGGATACCCTTTGCCCTTTGATCCTGAAGATCCTGCCAACAGCATGGTGCCACCCCTTGCAGTAATGGAGAGGCCTCCGGTAGTGGTAAATGGAAGACATAACTATGAAACTTATTTGGAATACATTTCTAGGACTTCTCAGTCTGTTCCAGACGTAACAGATCGACCACCACACTCCTTGCACTCCATTCCAGCAGATAGTCAGCTTGATAGCACATTCCCACCACCTGCCCATGATGATAATGTATCAATGGCTTCTTCTGGGGCCACCCAAGCTGAACTCATGACCTTAACCATTGTGAAAGGGGCCCAGGGCTTTGGCTTCACTATAGCAGACAGTCCTACAGGACAGAGGGTGAAGCAAATTCTAGACATTCAGGGATGTCCTGGTTTGTGTGAAGGTGACCTCATTGTTGAGATCAACCAGCAGAATGTACAGAACCTGAGCCATGCAGAAGTAGTGGATATACTTAAAGAATGTCCTGTTGGAAGTGAAACTTCTTTGATTATCCATAGAGGAGGTAAGTTTGGAAAGTCTGTACAATTACGAAAATGTGTGTAAAAGGTTCTAAACCATAAGGCATACATATAAACTCACTACATCCTTGTGTGCTAGATTGGAAATTAATTTCCATGTTGTGGGAGGTAACACCATTGGTTCTGGAAATACGTGTCTGCAATTAAGTATCCTAGGCAAAATCTAAGCTTGTTGTGCATTCCTTTTTGTGTTTTGAGTGTCAATGGTCCCACCTCTTTATAAGGCTAAAACTAGAGCAGTTCCAGACCTTTCACGACATAATAGTTTGTGTGGTGTCTGCAGCAAACTCTTATTGTCCCAAAGCAATGCTGCAAGCTTTAGATATAATTGTATATATTGATTCATTAAGGTAGAACAACGAGCAATCCATTAGCCCTTTACAAGGTTATTGGTTTTGGTAAGCCATTTTGCCTCCTTTTCCTTCATTGTAAAAGTGTTGTACAGCAGGTTTGTTTCTTTCTTGTCAAAAAAGATCCATAGTATGTTTTTTCTCTGTTTTTAAAATAATAGCTTCTAGCAACTTAGTTTTTCTGTTCAGCCTGACACAGTAGGCTTGAATACGCACCACTGGAAGGGGAGAGTCAAGACTTACCTGTAAGGAAGCGGTAACAGAAGAAATTGTAATACCTGGACAGTGATAAGTAATTTCATAGCTTTTAATATTTTAGCCAAAAAACAAAACTTTCTTCAGTGGTTTGAAATAAGCATCCATCACTATTTATTATTACCTGAACTGAATAATGATTGAATTTCTTTAATTAGAGATCTTTGTTCCTCTAAAGGCATTCATATGTCACTTAATACACATTACTGTGTGCTTCAAAAGAAAACAATAAAAAGTATTCTATATAACAATAGTAATTATTTTACTTCTGAAGATTAGAGGTTGGGAAGTGAAGCTTTAGTGTTTGTGTATGCCAAATATTTGTCATTAGAAAACGTATATATCCTTAAAACAAGGAATATAGTAACAGTTTATCAAATTGCACAAATAATAACCATAAGGTGATTAAAACATCTGTAGATTCACATAGTCAATAACATATTTTTCATATCTATATTTAAAAGAATGATTTATAGAGACAGAATCTGACATTTCTTTCGAATTGAACCAAATTAAGAGTAAAGGCCAAGTGATGTCACTATCATGCATGAACTTGGAGAAAGCTAATTGTTGCATTAAATCTGATTTTATTTAACATCCATTAAGATTCTGGAACAGCGGAGTAAGCAACATTCTCTTTCTGAAGATGCTGACAAATTGTGGAGAATTGCAGAGCAAGAGAAGAGCATGAAGGGAATTAGAAGGGTTAATGTCATCCCAAAAGGCGGGATTTTATTTTGAAAAATGCAAGCAAATCCCCCTCTAGAGGAAAACAATTCAGAACACCAATCTTCAGAGAGAAGTGGAGTGTGAAATCCAGTATGCTGAACAAGCCTGTGTAATAATAGACAGCAAAATAGGTATTTCAACAATCAGCACAGGACAGTAGCAAAAAAAGAACCCTGAAGCAGCAACATACTCAAGCCCGTGAGGATAATTCCCCTCTCTCAAGAGAATTTCTTCTTAGAGCATCGATTTGTGATCAAAACAAGTTGATCAACATGATAGTTTAACAAGTTCTGGTACATTTGCTGAGCTGTGGTTATTTTCTACTTATCGCTGTGGCAGACAGGAGATACTGGACTGAGCTCAAGCTTCAATAAAAGCAGTGTAAATTTACACCATCTTGTCTCCTGTCAGGCCAGAGGTACAGATAGCTACCCTAGCTCAGCTGACACAAAATACTAGGTCCAAGTGCAATAGTGTGTTCCTCTTAACCCTCTGTGTCTGGGGCAGGGGATGGTTTGTTGCTTTAGAGAATGCCAAGAAGAGAAAGAGAGCATATTTTCTTCAACGTCAAACAATGACTGAGACTGAAGCACTGTTTGGAAGTACTAGAGAGTGACTAAATTTAATGGCATGATACACAACAAAGTAAAGTTTACTATGAGAAATCTATGTGTATCACAAATAAGGATATACCTTAATGCAAGGTTGTTAGATTCTGGAATTTAAGAAATCCTTATTTGTTTGAGTTATTCAAAAGAAGTGAAAAAATGCAGTGAGACAAACCTACTGTACCTGAGGTGGATGAATTATCTCTTAAGAGAAATATAAGAACTGTTTTAAGATGACAGCCTGGGTATTTTATTTTTTTCCCATAAATTCATAGGGAACAGGAACCCATGTGATCAAATATGCATCAGTAATGCAGTTAATATCAATATATATATATATATAGCTAGTTGTCGTGTCTCCTTTTATAGCTCCTGGGCAGAAATGGGCCTTTCTAGTGTGCAATTCATGTCACTCCTATGTAGATGTTTCAAATAAGCCAGGTATACCCTAGAAGTATATATTCTGCTTGACTGACTATAAAGGGAATTGAGTAGGACGGATTCAGATGTATGTGTCTATCCCACATGTTATGAATAAGAAACAGATGATAAGATTTGGTCATGTGAGATAATGTGAATGCAAAACAAAATTCTAGTACTTAGAGAAAGCTGCTATGATTCTAAGATATTTAGTCTGTGACACCGGTGAAGCAAGGCATACTTTCTCATTACTGATGGATCCAATTGTTATTTTATTATCTCTAATGTGTAGTGACACTTGAATAATACCTTCCTTTTCCATCATTACCCTGTGCATCTTGTCATTAATGTCTCATTTTTTAAGATTAAGACCAAAGTAGTATTCCTGCCTGTGGAAGAGGAAGGCTGTGTTTTGCATATGGTTTTGTATTGCTTTGAATGTATTCTGTCTCCAATTAGAATATGGCCTGACTGCATATTTCATTGTGGCAAATCCACTTTTGTAAGTGACTTAATTTCTCTCTTATCCAGCAATTTTACTTACATTGCAAACAAGAAACAGATCAACATTGGCTGCGATATATTCTAAGTGTAGGAAATAAAAGCATCCTATACAGGAAAATAGAGGCGTTCATACTGAAAAAAAAAAAAAAAATAAAGGAGAAGATGGTGGGAAAAGTGTTGCCTAAAAAAAAAAAAAAGGAAAAATGAATTTAAAAAAAGAAAAGAGAAAGGAAAAAAAAAGATATTAAAGTGTTTGTTACTCAAGCAGATTTACCCCTTTCCAGCTTTGCTTCAGCTTTCACGCTTCATCCTCACGTTACACAGCAGCCTGCATTGAGTATAGGTTGCTGAAATAGTGTTAAAGAGCTCTGAAAAATCAGTGTTTCCAAATGTGGATAGAGCAGAGATTCTGCATTAGTCCAGAACTACTGAAAAACGTCACTAAGTGGTTGAAGTAGCATGTACTAAATGTATGTAGAGCAAAATATTCACTATTAGGACATCAGAAATGGTTTTTGGCATGTTCTACTGAATGAGCTAACCAAGCACCTGACATATGCCATCTCTTTTGGAAAGTACCTTTGAAATATTTGAGCCTGTAGACAGCAGCCCAGCCCCAGAAGTGTTCCTGTCCAAAAAAGAACTGACACATTCAAATGCAGATCTGTCAAGACTATGTCTGAAATACTGTTGTTAAGGAAATCTGAAGACAACCCAGGACTGATTCATGAAGCTATGGCAACTCCTAAACAAGTGCTGTAACTGAAACCTTAAACCTAAATGCAAAAAGTGGAAGCCTGACAATGTTCCTACATCAGACAGCTATTTTATAGTGATAAAATCCAGGCTCTGAGAAACTGAGATTGTTAGTACAAAATGGAGCCAGAGAATTGACACATTGTCCATACTGGTTAATTGTTAGCCCACTCCTGTCATGGGACTGGAATAAGCCAGCAGCCACTTTCACCCTGACATGATATGGGAGACAGCATGGGCCACACACAATGCATAAACAGTTAAGATGAGGAAAATCTAACATCTAATTTGTAGATGTGAACTGTGAGAACAAAAGGAAGGCCAAGAATCTTCCTCAGATTTTGTATAAACACCAATAGCAGTTTCTGACTCCTTGAGGCTGCTAACAGAGACCAGTACACCACTTCAAGCATCAACAATTTCCAAAACAGCCAGAAATTTCACAAAAAGCAGCTCTGCATTTTCTACTGAATGGCCTCAAAATGAGCAGGCTTCAATTTAAGGAATACTACATCCTCAGTGCCCTTTCCACAGACCAGTCTCAGATTTATCTTTCTACCATGGACATGTTTTTTTATGTCCAGGCTTGCTATAAGATGTCTTTCAATTCCTCTGGTCAGAAAAGCTCATACTTCTTTTTCTCCCAGTTGTACTCTCCCTTGAGAAAGCTGCCCAAGATAAAGCTGCAGGCAGCACCATCACTCTGCTAACAGTCATCCAGCCCAGGCAGTTCTGATCTCCTGGTTCCATGACTTTAGCCCACCACTGACATCTCCAGAGCTTTAATTCTGCTTCTGCAGTTCTTCCTTCAAAATAGTACCTGGTGCAAACTGGAGACCCAATATCTCATGGCTTGCTCATCCCCAGTTCAGGACTTTCTAGTCAACCATACTGAGGGCTTAAAGAAATGAAATTGTTAGGAGGGTGGTGTAGGGGTTTTATTTGGAATCTACGGAGTTTTTCTATCATCCTACTGTCTCTACTGTTTTACATCCCTGAGTCACTGGTGATTTTTTTCCTTCCAGTTGCTTCCTAAAGGAACCCATTTTTGGTTTAATTGCTTCTTATGGTTACTCTGAATTAATAGCAGTCTGTTCATGCTTACTTTGTGCATGAAAGTGTGCTTCTTCCTGTTGTCTCTGACAGATATTGGGAGATAACAGGGTCTGATAGCTCTCTTGCTTCCTGCCATACTTTCTCCTCTCTAGACAGTTATTTCAATTGTACATTTGGTCCTGAGCCCTTTTCTCACATTTCTTAAGAGTATCCTAATTTTGAGAGGGACTTAGATCCATTTGGCAACATCTGCATTTTTAGCCATGCTGTCTTCTTAAATGGCACATATATCTTTTGTTTGTGAGTTTAAGAGACATTTGATCCCACAAAGGGAATGTACATGTGAACTTAGGAGTGAACCACTGAGCCATTTGAAGTGAACTATGTGAACCATTGATATCTAGAAGTCAATGATACAAACTTCTGTCCAACATGCTGCCGAAACATCCTTTATCATTTTTCTCTTTCTGATTTACCACACCGTTTTTCCTTGCCATCCCTCTATGAAGTTCTCTCTTTCTCGTGGGTCTGTCTGCTTTAAAACCGATGGAAAATAAAGGTTCATAGCTGACCTTTCTCCTTTCCATCTCAACATTGTGAGCTTTTATATGACATCGTAAATTTAAGTTTCCTCAGCGTGAGTTCTCTGAAAACATACACTTTTCATGCTGGCTTTTAAGCTGTTTCTTTTTGCTCATTTTTGTTGCTGTTCATAACTGGTAATGCC